CAATGTCAAAAAGAAACCCAAAGGATGGCAGTGCGTTGAGCTGCAAGAAGGAATTGAAAAGAAAGAGTACACTGGTTATGTCCTTGTCTGATACTTGTCTGATAAAGCTTACCACAGCTAAAGCCCAGTGAAAACAGACGCCTCCACAGTGAAGGAATGGATCTTTAATGCATTTTAACGTGCCTTAGAGACATATTCCTACACTACAGTAGCTACTGTGAAAAAAAGAGCAGTACAACTCCCTCTTCCTATGCACACAGCCTCACAAGTTGTACCTTGCTCTATGAGTAGTTACAGAATGTTTCAGAATACTGGGACAAATTGAGTTAAATTGATAAGAAGAGGTACAAATTGGATGCTGCTGTGCCAGCAAGTCACACTTCTGATTGACTTAACCCCACTCTGTTGTACAAGTGATTTCAATGCAGAGAGTACTAACAAAATAAACTCCTAACAAATTAAACAGGAGTAAATTTTTCAGCAGCAGGTAGATCTTGAATGCAAATATTGTACTTGGCTCCTCCCTTACAAGATATTCAGATACTAAAACTGTCCCTGCTGTCACTTGTACTTTTCTGTTCCACAACAGGTTCGACTACAGCTGGATGTCTTTTGCACTCCTCACACATCACTTCAGTTGATTCTGAGCCTTATACGTGACAATCTAATGCCCACTGTTGAAGTCAGAACCTCCTTAAACAAAGATGCTGTTTGAGTTACTAAAATTTATCCCATTCCTGCCTTTGAAGAAGTGAAGAACTGGACTTTATGAGCCAAGAAAAGGAGAGCAAGGCTAACTGGGGGTAAGAAAGATGAGCTGGGTGACAAGCCTAAGGAGTGGAGACAGAGAGAGCACTGGCGAGCAATGAAACTGTTCCTAAATCAGCTTGGAAAAGGATGGACCAAAAAGGGTCTATAATCTAAACTTCATTTCTCTCCTAAGCCTAAAATGGAATCGAGGACTTTTGGGATTTATGATCCCCTCTGTCACTGTTGGATGAAAAAGGAGAGATGAAGCACTGAGGCTGGGCACGATGGGCAGAACAGGCGCAGAAATGACCGCAGCCAGTGGAGGTGGGACAGCCTTTGCTACTCGAGCTGTCTGAGGGCACACACTGACAGCAGGCCAGCCCACTGCTTTCCCCGTGCTGGGAGAAGGGCATTTTGCCTATTTAAGCAGCACTTTGTTCCTCATCAATTATTCATCTGCTACGTTGTTCCTGCAGCTGGGTACAGCACAGAGACACTGCCACCGCCGCTACCACGTGAAAGGTGATGTAGCTACAGACACACTGCTTGACACGCTGGCTCTCGCTGCTGCCACGGCACACAAGCGACATTTGAAAAACCAGGAGCTCGAGCACATTTCCCGACAGAGCCCGATTTAATAAAGTCACCGCTTCAACTGTACTGCAACATGACTGATGTTAATGAGGCTGTTGGCTTTTGTTTAGTTTTACATGGCAGTGCTCCTCCTCTCCTTTCTCCCCTATATATTCATCATCTCTCTAAACAAAAAACCCCCCCAGCCATTGTCTCCAAGTTGTCTGCAACAGTTTCACGAGTGCTACACCAGAAACAACCCAACTGCCACCCAAATGACACTGCAGGCTGGCTGATAAACGTACAGCAGTCACCTCAGGCTCTGGGAGCCGATATGGGAAATTACTGAAGCTGTATTGTAGCAAATACAGTTCTTTATGTCAATTTTGGTTATCTGTAAATAACACAGATTACAAATGTGAATTTTATAGTGAACACAGCGCAGCAAAAACAAAACAAAAACTTCAAACAACTCAGAAAAGTCTTTCACTAAGTATCAGGAGCACAAAAGCTCCACGGAAGGAGCTCAGCGTGTGTCCCACCGTGAAGTGTGGCGGTGAGCAGCTGCTTTTCCCTGCCGAACACTCTGCGGGACGG